ATACAAAAAAAAAAGTGTCCGCCCCCCCCACCCCCCCATTGTGGCTCAGGGCATAATCTCACGGTTTATGGGTTCGAGCCTCAGGCTCTCCGCTGACCGAAGGGAGTCTGCTTGGGATTTTCTCTCTCTTCTCTCTTGCCATTCCCCTGCTCGTGCGCTGTCTCCCTGTGTTAAAAATTTTTTGTTTAATGTGTTAAGCCACACGAGGAAGAGGTGTTTCAATGGCTGCAGGAGCCCTGCCGAGGGGCTTAGACGATGCCAGGGTGATCCCCACGCGTCCCAGCTAAAGTCTAAATGTCTGTGGCATATACCAAAACTACAGCCGCACTGAGAATGAGCCCCGTGTGGTTGGTGCGCACAAACGCACTGCCTGCGTAACTAGGAGAGCTGACTGAGGACACACCCCTGCAACACGCCGCTCAGCTCCCCCGCCGTACACCGCGGGGGGGGTCGCTTCTTGGCGGACTTTACAGTGAAACACAGGGAAGGTCTACGTGCGCATGCACGTGGCACTCTCTGCCCGCGGTCCGGGGACTTTCCCCTAGGCGTTAATAAGGAACAAGTCCCCCGTTTGTAGCCTAGGAAACAGGCCTTCAGCACGAACTGTGCAAAGATGTACAGGCTCTACTCTTTTATAGGTCCAAGACGCTATTCATTATATGGTTAGGGTGAATAGATTGGTAGCATGAGAAATAAAAACGACTTTCCAGCATAATCTTACAAGACTGTAGACTTCTAGAAGCTTTCTGATTAATAGGATTCCTAACTAGATAAGAAATGAATTAATTTAGGAAAGCAGGGCAAAAGTCCTATGCTAATAAGTCTGCCCCGCCCACACGCTGAGTGGGCGTGGCCTCCCAGTGCAGCCGCGAGCAGGACCCACACACACTGCTCCGTGTACGCATGCGCGCTGGTGCTCCCGGACAAGGCTGGCGCCGCTTGGGGCCGTCATTCTGTGGTCTGCAATGGCGGACTCGGTTTCTTGTGTGGGTGTGCTGGGGTTGCTACTTGTGTCTGCACTGCCCGGGGTCCTCGGAGACCGCTCCAGCCCCGACCTCCGGGCACACCCAGGTATCAGCGAGGGCTACTGGAGGGAGGCTAGGACTGCCCACGGGTCCCAGGCCCCAGCCCTACTGACCCGCCTCTGCCCTCCTCCGCAGGAGACCCCTTCCAGGTCGGCCCTGAGGCCGCGGAACCCCGGCGACGGCCGCCGCCCAAGGACCAGCGCGAGCGGGCCCGGGCCGGGGCTCTGCCTCTGGGGGCGCTGTACACCGCAGCTGTCGTGGCTTTTGTGCTGTACAAGTGTTTGCAGGTGCGGGACGACCAGGGGTGGGGATACCCCGGGCCTGAATTTCCCATGAGGGCGCTATGGTACCATGAACAAGACACATCTTTCTGTCTGTAAACGAATATAGTAGAGTTCCTTGGCTTCCCAACATTATGGGGTTATTTTAAGCACCCATCGAGGTAGCGGATGTGAAGGGCATTTGGTAAATTGTAAATAAATAACGACCACCACATTTAATCCTCCCGACAATACAATGAAGAGATTAAGTCACTTGCTCAAATTCACCGAGCAAGTAGTAACTAGTAGGGCTGGGATTTGAGCCCAACAGCTAAATGTCCATACTACAAAAGTGGCTCCTGGTAGGATTCCAGTCTTGACACAAGGTGTGGATTGCTGTAGCCAGCGTTCAAGGTACCAAGCAGTTTCATGTTCACCTTAGAAAGGAGGCCCTGAAATGTGAACTGACAGAACATTTTGGTGTATTGAAATAGTTGAAATGGAAAGTAGTACCTCCCAGGGCTCTGTATTCAACCCCAGCCCTATTACTTATTTGCATTGGGAAATAGGGGGCTGAACCAATTTGGAGAGGATACGAAATTAAAAAGGATAGCTAATCATGATTCCAAATATTATCATGGACAGGCTAGGATGAGGGACCGTATTCACTGATGACATTGAACTAGAAATGATAATATATTCTATTTTTGGACCCACGTACTGTCTGGAGGAAACTTAAGTTAGGAGTTCATTAGTTGAATAATAAAGTTCAGTTGTGTGATGTAACAACTTACCACTTCCCAAATCAAAGCTAGCAACAAGGTATTGCACTGTATCTTCTGCTCACAACACTCCTGGAGAATTTTATTCTCTTCAAGGTGCTACTTAAGAGTATTATGTGCTCAGTAGAGCAACCAGAGAAAACCATGTCAAATGAGCACCAATTCATTTGAATAAAGTTGGCATTATTAACCCAGAGAAGACAATGGGGAAGGGCAGTGGGCAAGGAAGATGGTCTTCCAATTCCTGAGTGGCTATGATGTTGAAAAGACAGGATTTTGGAAGGCACCATGGAAAGAAGAGACATGAAGGACAATTTTTGGTTTTGTATATAAACTAACCACCAGAGCTTTATCAAATTGGAGACAGCTGCTCATTCCCGGAGGTGTTTCTTTAGACTCCGTGACTGTGGACGGGGGGGG